CTACAATTCTAAAGATAGGATTTTACGAGTCTCTCGGATTCGCCCCAGAATAGAGCGACAACGAAACACTAAATAAAATCCCTTCGGCGGAAACAGTACTGAGAGGATTATATAAAGGCAATGTCTCAGCCTCACAATCCCTCAGAGTATTGCTGTTTTCACGAAGCAAACCTAACTTTATTAAACGTCTCATTTCGTATTTTTATATCGATATTTACACGATATTTAGAATTTACCTACGCGTGTATTTATTCTAACGCATTAGTATCGCCTTTATTAGACCGAATCTTACATCACCAGACGCCGAAATTACCACCAGGACAAGGTACTAGCATAGGGATAATATTATTTATTTCAAAAAATGGCATCAGTACTAGTATAAGCATTATTATCATTAACGTGGAAGGGCTTAGGCAATGATTCAATTGAAATTGAAGCTAGTGTATCACTTGCATCGAGTGCCCTCTTGTCATGAACACATCCATAACATGAGCAAGAAAACGCTAAAAATCCATATTTAAAGTCGCATACTACCTGACAATTTAGGCATTTTGCCATCTTATGGCCTGAAAATAGTCGTTTACGGCATGGTACATTTTGTGCGCTTGGAAGCCGTATTTTAACAAACAGTCCGTCAACACACCCTACACAATGGGTTATAATTCCATGAGATGATCGTGCGCGAACCCCTTCAGCTAATCTTCTACAATCCGCCTCAGTTGTTGGGAAATCTATTCTCAGTTATAGTACTGTAGTTGAAAGCATTTATAGCTCTAATCACCCGCCTAAATATATAATACACAGTGGCTCTAGATACCTTGTTTATAAGACAAATAGCAAGCACTTGACCTCCAACCAGTATACATAGTGTAATTGCTAATTGAACATCAACTGGTATCGGACCATTACGTAGGTTACCGTAGTGTACATTTCTTAAACAACCTGGTGTAATAGCTTGTTGTAGACATAAAAATTGTCCCCACGTCATACGTAAATCTAGACAGAAACGATCTGTTTGCAAAATCAGTCCAGCGATGTCGGAGAAGCAAGCTACACGTTTATATACCAATGCCCTACGGGTAATATCCCTCGTTTCCACAAGATAATGTGTACTGTAAGCCATCAGTGTCACCACTAACAACATCAAAACACGCTTGATACCTTCATCTGCTGATGTGCTGATAACGTCAGACCCACATCGCTGCATGCCATCGTCAGCACTACATAGTTGCACCCCATCGTCTATATCCGTATAATCAGAGGGTAGCTGTGCTAGTCCATATGCATCATTTCTGTGTAATTCGTCTATCAAGCTACTAATCTCATTTTATCGCGTCGGACTTGCATCTAACAACATCGCCAATCTTTCGGCGGTGGTCATATTATCATTGTCGTTTACATGATCAGATTGTTCGTTGTTTGATGTATTATTATAAGTAGTTGATTCATTCTGTGAATCATATGTATACTCTTGTTCACCACTACAGTGTGACATCGCACAGTCATCTATTGACTCTCATTCATAATCAGGATCTTCCATGATGTCTGTGTTGTATTATAGAAGCCAATGTAATAGCATTTAATAATAGGGATAATATTATTTATTTCAAAAATGGCAAGTATGTATGATACAATGTATGAAGCACATATCTTTATTCTTGATGTTTTGTATTCATGAATATAATAAATACGTATACGCCTTCCTTGTATTGAATTTCGTCACATATTCTTATGTCCAATCAATTCTCTCTTGTAAATATGAGTAATCCAGCTTGAAAATCACAAGATTATACGTAAACGAATTTTGTCCATTTTAAAGCAAAAGTCCGAAAATTCATCTTAGACACTGATGATAGAAGACAGGCTCACCCCCCTCCCCCCTAAAAATCCGAACATAAATCCAAACATAAATCCGAACATAAATCCGAACCGATTTGCCTTAGTAGAGAGAACAGAGAGACCCAGTCTTCCAGGTTACAGCCTCTCACGCTTTCAGTGCAGTGATAAGTGGGGTTAGTGGGCTCAAGCCGCCCTTAGCCTTGAGGGCTGAGGCTGAGGTGCCCACACGCGAACGTTAATACGTTATGACAGTTTAACGTATACGACGAAAAAATGCACCTATGTATGGCCCACCTGTAAAAACGAAAGTGCAATTTTCAAGGCACGTCGGCCCTTTTCAACTTTTATTAAATTTTAACGTTTTAAAAATGGCTTTTTAACTCGCCCTAAAGTATTTATTTATATAAATATGTACAAAAGCAATCGAACAAAAGTGTAGGAAATTGTACCGGTACCAAAATTGCACCCTAATAAAGAACCATATAGGACCACCAACCACACAAGAAGAAGGCGATCAGCCCAAAGTAGACGTGAAAAGCATTGAAACTAATAAAAACATCTGCATTCCTCTATGCCCCGGACTCTGGGACTGGGAGTCTGGAGCTGCAGAGCATGTGAAAAGTAATATTTTACATACATACAATACATTAAATATGTATTTTATACTGATCTTTATACTGTACAAAGTGTAGCAACACTGTATTTGTATTTATTGGTTTTATTACACACTGTGACTGAGTGTGACTGTGTACAAAGTTTATTTTATTTTATCTGCATAGGCATGCGAAACTAGTAGGGTTCTTAACACCTATTACTCCTCATATAAATAGGAGCAAGTAGAAATATTATTTATAATAATATTATTCACATATACATTGGATAGGTATGTGAACCCTGGCGTTCTTAAACCCTACCACTACTCCTCAGACTCTTGATCACTGGAGGAGTGGAGGCCCGAGGGCCCGAGGCACTACTCTCTCTCTCACTCAGACAGACTGATAGAGAGAGAGCTGATGTCCCCACTCCCCAGTCCTCACTCAACAGTCGCGACTGTTCACTCTGACAGTCTGTCAGCGTTGAGCAACTCTCATCTTAGCCCATCTGATGTACATAATTACCCTTCGTAAATATTTTCGATATTTTACCGTACACCAGTTTACTACTGTAATGGCCCTCCGGTTAAACTCGTAACACGTAATCATACGAGACGTGGGTGTGGTCTGTTTGGCTACTCACATACATAGTGCGCACTGCAGCCGCCACCCACAGTTCACTATAGTTTCACCGTGATATACCTCGCAGATAATACAATACCCAGTTAGCGTCCTACTTTTTGCGGGTCGTTCTGTTGTTTAACTCTGGTTAACGACAGCCTGCCATATCGATACGCATACTGGTATCAATATCTATTGGTTTAGTAGTGTATTGGTGGAGTGCCTGCTTGGCTGTGAACCCTGCAGGTTATACAGTAGAGATATTATGTACTATCTTCGCCAAACGCACAAAAGAATAGCTTGTAACTTAATTTTACACACCTCAGTCTGCACAGTTGAAGGCTTACATCAGTTGCATTCAAATCCTAACCCGACCCAACCCACCTACCGTTCGCTATAAAACATACAGTATCAACATAGCCCTCGCCATAGCATCACTATAACACTCACTATGCAAGTAGTTAATAATAACATCACGTGGTCACACAGCGCATTGCGCCCCCTGGAGGTGACAATCCAGGTGTCCATATTCATCAATGATGGACTGTTCGACGTCACACGCGCACGCCCTATGATGCTATCCTCTGACTGGGATGTGGACTTGGCTGCCTGCCAGGCTTATAATCTGGTAATGATAGTCTTGCTTATGACAGTGTATTGTATTGTAGTCTAAAGTGTATTGCGTGCTTATAACCTGGTACTGAATATGTTATAACACCGTGTATTGTATTGCAGTCTAAAGTGTATTGCGTGCTGACAACCTGGTACTGGATATATTAGTTATAGCACAGTGTATTGTATTGCAGTCTAGAGTGTATTGCGTGCTTATAGCCTGGTACTGAAAATATTAGTTATAACACAGTGTATTGTATTGCAGTCTAAAGTGTATTGTAGTATTGTATGCTTATAACCTGGTACTGAATATATTAGTTATAACACAGTGGATTGTATTGCAGTCTAAAGTGTATTGCGTGCTTATAACCTGGTACTGAAAAGATTGGTCATAGCACAGTGTATTGTATTGCAGTCTAACGTGTATTTCGTGCTTATAACCTGGTAATGATAGTTATGCTTATGACGGTGTATGGTATTACAGTATAAAGTGTATTGTATTATAATAACCTGGTAATGGTATTCTCACGTATAACACAGTGTATGGTGTTGCAGTCTAAAGTGTATTGTATTCTTGTAACCTGGTAGTGATACTTAGCGTATACTGGTAATGATATTTACATAAATGCCTAAGCGGGCCATGCTGTCACGAAGGTTTCAGAGTGTGTTATATATATATATATATAGTATTTATAATATATACATATATATATTATGTATGTATATATATATATAATGTATATATGTATATTGTATATATATATATTGTATATATATATATATATATTGTATATATATATATATGTATATGTCTATTATATATTGTATATATATATATGTGTGTGTGTATGTGTGTATGTAGGTTTTTGGATATATATATATATATATATATATATATTCACACACACACACGCACACACACACATATATATATATATATATATATTCACACACACACACGCACACACACACACACACACATATATATATATATATATATATATTCACACACACACACACACACACACACACACACACATATATATATATATATATATATATATATATATATATATATATATATATATATATATATTGTATATTGTATGTGTATATATATATGCATAGACATGTACATTGAATATTTTATCTCATAATGGACTACATTATATCTCTTCACAGGTACACAACACATCCTATCTGGTGGGCCAAAGCACTGCCGCCAGGGGTGGGGTGGGTGTGGAGAACCCGAATGGCAATGGGTTTAATCTGTACTATGAGCATGGCATGCGCGTGACTGATCTGTTGACTGTACCGCAGAATTCCTGTCTTGTTGTGGCAGATGGACCGTTTGTCCCGTTCCGAATGCTGGTGTGTAGGGTTTTGGGGTTAGTTCGTTGGTGGTGTTGGTAGAGGGGACGGATTGGTATGTAGGTTGGTTTCTTGTTATGTGAGTTTTAATGTTATTTGCGTTTATTCTGTATGTAATTCGTATCGGATTTCTAGTTTGATGTATGGGAGTGTGGGCCTATTGCTGGTGTTATAGTTATAGTCCTGGCTTCCCCGATCAAAATTCACTTGTGCATTTGGTATGCTTTAATATACATAGATATATATATATATATATATATATATGTGTGTGTGTGTGTGTGTATGCATATGTATATGTAT